ATTCTGGGATAAATGAAATTACCAACGTACGCGTGGCCTCTTCATTTCTGTTTCCTGGATGGTTGATATGGGAAGGCGGAAACAAGTTGCTAAGGGTCCTTACACTGCAGAAAAACACAACCCCAGCCCCACGGCCACTATACCCCCCTCGTGCTGCCCACCAATGCCCTCAGCGGGGCAACACGCGCATGACGCATAAACCTATCCAAAGAACTTCGAACGACTCTCAGACTCTCATGTGGCGACATCTATAGAGGTAGCTACCTCCTGAACCCGGGAAAATCCCTGCAGGTTAAGCTGACTAGTTTCCCCCTACACCAAGCACTATCCCTTCTGAGCTCTCAAGGCCACACTACTGGGCTAAAAGACTCGACCGAACCAACCCCGTCCCGGCCCGCCGGCTGTCCAGTCGCCCCTCAGCGGCCGTTTGCCACAAGCCTGCAGCTGGCAGAGCCTGGCGCGGAGGTGTCTGCGATTGACCGGCGAAGAAGGGAAAGGGAAACTTGTCAATCCACGATTGATTTCTTTTCAGAACTAGCCAGAGACACAATGGATTTCAAGCTAAATTGCGTTCCCCAATCCACTTCGAACTGTATGAATGCGAATGAATAATCTTATTAGGGACAATAATACGGCACGGGAGTTTCATGCCCTCAAAGCGGGAACAAACGCTAGAACTGAATACATACATAGTTCTAAATCTTCTACTAAAATTTTCCTGTAGCGTTAGAGGCCTTTAATTCATATTGGCGAACGATGCTTCCCGAGCTACCGGGATACTGTAGGTTCAACATGTACATTTTATTTATATGGGCTACGGGGGGTTGAAGGTGGGTAACCGATGGGTAACCCATGGGTTACCCACCCAATCAGTGCCTTAGGGTAGTCTGGATCATAAAGAGTAATGTGCTGTGCAAAGCCCCGCATAACAGCCCCGCACGGCATGCCTTGTGCCTGTGCTTGATGATATTGGATTCCCCCCAACAGCCAACTGGAGTTGCACACCTGCACCCAGTTCCAAGCATGTGATCTCATTCCAGCATTGCAGGCACCTGGACGAGCGGCCAACCTGTCGCAGTGCACCGCAGCAAGAGGACTGCGCCCAGGGCCTGTTGACATCACCCAGTTTCGATCTGAGGACCTCCTGTGTGTGAGACAGATGTGATTCCACTACACCATGATGTCGAAGCTAGGCACAGCACGCCCCAGCATCCGCTCTCCGGCGCCCTAGCCTTACACAACATCACGCACACCCACTTACACACTCTTACACACACAGGCACAGGCACAGGCGTCATGTTTCACGCACAGCGTACACCGCCACACCCAGCTGTGCCCGTGCAGCAGGCCTCAGTCCTGCTCGCTCCTAATTAGCCGCTACTTCTGCATGAATGCGGCATCATCAAGGCCGCCGCATGCATACATACATTTCGTTGACGCGAGAGCATGTTTGCACTTGCCCCCTTACACACGCTCCTTATGTAAGGAGCCCTAGTGCGGCCTGGCAGTATGTAGATGCAATCTGGAGAACCCCAAGCAACCAGACGCTTTCTCCAGCCCAATACAATATTCTGGCTCCTATTAAAGGGAAAGAAACCCGATTGCAGCTGGTTGTATCATCCATCCAGCTCCCTGCATGTCTGTTGGACCATGACCATCTTGCAGTTCCACAGCCGCAAACTCAAACGGTATGCATGGACTCCCAGCCGGTGGCTGAGCCTGCATGCCACGCAAGGTGATGATGGCAGCACAGCTAAGGCTTGGTATGTACCTGTATGCATGGCATGGGGATCGTGGGTGGAGGATACACCTGCCGGTGCAGGATTACACATGGCTCCCTGACTGGGTATGCAAGATCCAAGATACCGTCCTGGCTAGTAGTCTGGATCATAAAGAGTAATGTGCTGTGCAAAGCCCCGCATAACAGCCCCGCACGGCATGCCTTGTGCCTGTGCTTGATGATATTGGATTCCCCCCAACAGCCAACTAGAGTTGCACACCTGCACCCAGTTCCAAGCATGTGATCTCATTCCAGCATTGCAGGCACCTGGACGAGCGGCCAACCTGTCGCAGTGCACCGCAGCAAGAGGACTGCGCCCAGGGCCTGTTGACATCACCAATTTCGATCTGAGGACCTCCTGTGTGTGAGACAGATGTGATTCCACTACACCATGATGTCGAAGCTAGGCACAGCACGCCCCAGCATCCGCTCTCCGGCGCCCTAGCCTTACACAACATCACGCACACCCACTTACACACTCTTACACACACAGGCACAGGCACAGGCGTCATGTTTCACGCACAGCGTACACCGCCACACCCAGCTGTGCCCGTGCAGCAGGCCTCAGTCCTGCTCGCTCCTAATTAGCCGCTACTTCTGCATGAATGCGGCATCATCAAGGCCGCCGCATGCATACATACATGGCAGGCGGCTGGCAGGCTGGCAGAAGTTAAGGCCTGACTTCTGCTCCCAGTCGATCCAGTCGATCCAGTCGACCCGGATTCAAATCCGCCTGCCAGCTCCTCGGGTGTTTGAGGAGTGATGAAATGGGAGGTGGCCCCCCATCATATGGACGGTGTAGGACGTGATAATATCAACTCGATTGCAGCTGGTTGTATCATCCATCCAGCTCCCTGCATGTCTGTTGGACCATGACCATCTTGCAGTTCCACAGCCGCGAACTCAAACGGTATGCATGGACTCCCAGCCGGTGGCTGAGCCTGCATGCCACGCAAGGTGATGATGGCAGCACAGCTAAGGCTTGGTACGTACCTGTATGCATGGCATGGGGATCGTGGGTGGAGGATACACCTGCCGGTGCAGGATTACACATGGCTCCCTGACTGGGTATGCAAGATCCAAGATACCGTCCTGGCTAGTAGTCTGGATCATAAAGAGTAATGTGCTGTGCAAAGCCCCGCATAACAGCCCCGCACAGCATGCCTTGTGCCTGTGCTTGATGATATTGGATTCCCCCCAACAGCCAACTGGAGTTGCACACCTGCACCCAGTTCCAAGCATGTGATCTCATTCCAGCATTGCAGGCACCTGGACGAGCGGCCAACCTGTCGCAGTGCACCGCAGCAAGAGGACTGCGCCCAGGGCCTGTTGACATCACCCAGTTTCGATCTGGGGACCTCCTGTGTGTGAGACAGATGTGATTCCACTACACCATGATGTCGAAGCTAGGCACAGCACGCCCCAGCATCCGCTCTCCGGCGCCCTAGCCTTACACAACATCACGCACACCCACTTACACACTCTTACACACACAGGCACAGGCACAGGCATCATGTTTCACGCACAGCGTACACCGCCACACCCAGCTGTGCCCGTGCAGTAGGCCTCAGCCCTGCTCGCTCCTAATTAGCCGCTACTTCTGCATGAATGCGGCATCATCAAGGCCGCCGCATGCGTACATACATTTCGTTGACGCGAGAGCATGTTTGCACTTGCCCCCTTACACACGCTCCTTATGTAAGGAGCCCTAGTGCGGCCTGGCAGTATGTAGATGCAATCTGGAGAACCCCAAGCAACCAGACGCTTTCTCCAGCCCAATACAATATTCTGGCTCCTATTAAAGGGAAAGAAACCCGATTGCAGCTGGTTGTATCATCCATCCAGCTCCCTGCATGTCTGTTGGACCATGACCATCTTGCAGTTCCACAGCCGCAAACTCAAACGGTATGCATGGACTCCCAGCCGGTGGCTGAGCCTGCATGCCACGCAAGGTGATGATGGCAGCACAGCTAAGGCTTGGTACGTACCTGTATGCATGGCATGGGGATCGTGGGTGGAGGATACACCTGCCGGTGCAGGATTACACATGGCTCCCTGACTGGGTATGCAAGATCCAAGATACCGTCCTGGCTAGTAGTCTGGATCATAAAGAGTAATGTGCTGTGCAAAGCCCCGCATAACAGCCCCGCACGGCATGCCTTGTGCCTGTGCTTGATGATATTGGATTCCCCCCAACAGCCAACTAGAGTTGCACACCTGCACCCAGTTCCAAGCATGTGATCTCATTCCAGCATTGCAGGCACCTGGACGAGCGGCCAACCTGTCGCAGTGCACCGCAGCAAGAGGACTGCGCCCTGGGCCTGTTGACATCACCCAGTTTCGATCTGGGGACCTCCTGTGTGTGAGACAGATGTGATTCCACTACACCATGATGTCGAAGCTAGGCACAGCACGCCCCAGCATCCGCTCTCCGGCGCCCTAGCCTTACACAACATCACGCACACCCACTTACACCCACTTACACACACAGGCACAGGCACAGGCGTCATGTTTCACGCACAGCGTACACCGCCACACCCAGCTGTGCCCGTGCAGCAGGCCTCAGTCCTGCTCGCTCCTAATTAGCCGCTACTTCTGCATGAATGCGGCATCATCAAGGCCGCCGCATGCGTACATACATTTCGTTGACGCGAGAGCATGTTTGTACTTGCCCCCTTACACACGCTTAAGGAGCCCTAGTGCGGCCTGGCAGTATGTAGATGCAACCTGGAGAACCCCAAGCAACCAGACGCTTTCTCCAGCCCAATACAATATTCTGGCTCCTATTAAAGGGAAAGAAACCCGATTGCAGCTGGTTGTATCATCCATCCAGCTCCCTGCATGTCTGTTGGACCATGACCATCTTGCAGTTCCACAGCCGCAAACTCAAACGGTATGCATGGACTCCCAGCCGGTGGCTGAGCCTGCATGCCACGCAAGGTGATGATGGCAGCACAGCTAAGGCTTGGTACGTACCTGTATGCATGGCATGGGGATCGTGGGTGGAGGATACACCTGCCAGTGCAGGATTACACATGGCTCCCTGACTGGGTATGCAAGATCCAAGATACCGTCCTGGCTAGTAGTCTGGATCATAAAGAGTAATGTGCTGTGCAAAGCCCCGCATAACAGCCCCGCACGGCATGCCTTGTGCCTGTGCTTGATGATATTGGATTCCCCCCAACAGCCAACTGGAGTTGCACACCTGCACCCAGTTCCAAGCATGTGATCTCATTCCAGCATTGCAGGCACCTGGACGAGCGGCCAACCTGTCGCAGTGCACCGCAGCAAGAGGACTGCGGTCAGGGCCTGTTGACATCACCAATTTCGATCTGGGGACCTCCTGTGTGTGAGACAGATGTGATTCCACTACACCATGATGTCGAAGCTAGGCACAGCACGCCCCAGCATCCGCTGTCCGGCGCCCTAGCCTTACACAACATCACGCACACCCACTTACACACTCTTACACACACAGGCACAGGCACAGGCGTCATGTTTCACGCACAGCGTACACCGCCACACCCAGCTGTGCCCGTGCAGCAGGCCTCAGTCCTGCTCGCTCCTAATTAGCCGCTACTTCTGCATGAATGCGGCATCATCAAGGCCGCCGCATGCGTACATACATTTCGTTGACGCGAGAGCATGTTTGCACTTGCCCCCTTACACACGCTCCTTATGTAAGGAGCCCTAGTGCGGCCTGGCAGTATGTAGATGCAATCTGGAGAACCCCAAGCAACCAGACGCTTTCTCCAGCCCAATACAATATTCTGGCTCCTATTAAAGGGAAAGAAA